AACAGTAAAGAAAGATATACAAGTAGGAGTATTTTCACATCAAAAAATATATCTCAAACCGAAAATGTTTTGCATTTCTAAATTTACATGTTCATACATTTATCTTTTTGATAGAAGTAAAGTTTTCTTTTCAAAAATTAACAAATTATCGATATGGTGTTAACTGATGATCAATCCAATAATTTACTAATATGTAGATTTACAGTAATCGAATCAGTATTTTTTTGCTTAGTTAAATAACTGTTCATACCCGTATCACATATCTTTTATACATATGTTTACATAAGTATCTTTTTAAAAAGTGTTTAAGGAAAAGATTCTATCCATATTTTAAATTAAAAACTTTCCAAACGTGATTTATCACAATATTATTAACATTAAAAAGATATCTAATACAAATACGAAAGATTAATAGAAGACCCCTCTGTTGAAATTTCTTAAAACTCACTTGTAAATCCGAGATACAGCTCTCTAAGGAAGCATCAATATTCAAATCAGCTACAAATGATCGGCATGTTATGTACGCCTCAGACATCTCAAACATTGTCAGACAAAAATTTTTAGCCTCTTCAAATGTCATTCTTGTCAAAGTCGTTTCTCTTTTATATCGCTGAAATAAAAAAAATATATATAAAAGAAATCTTTTAATGTGATATTATTGTAATACTTCAAATTCTTTTGTTTCAGTGGACAATGTGGACAATCAAGACTCCATTTTAGAAATGGGCTAAAAGTTACATATCGGCTAATTCTACACCTAGCGTGTAAAAGTATTGTTTGCTATGCGTTCAAAACCCCTATCAAACTATGTGAAAATTAGTACTTTATTTGTCAAATCTTTAAAGCAGTATGTTGTACATGTAGCCAAATCCTTGTTTTTTCAGTGCACTTGACGCAGTGCATGGTCACAGATCTTTGAGTCGTACGCGTAAGTGTACTTTTTGGAAGAAAAAAGCAAATTCAAAGAATTTCCGTGTCTTTGTGGATGAGATGTCATTTTATTACATATTGTGTCAAATATGAATATCATATCATATCCTATCATATGTCATTCAGAAATTATCACCGTAGGTGAATCTTTTTTTTTAAATAAGGTCAATCGTGAAGGTCAAGCAGTTAGAAATCATAGCATGCTCGAGTATATCTTGTCACAGACAACGTACATGTCAAGTATGAACTCCTTATCTCTTCTCAATCAAAAGTTATAAGAACAAGATTTGTGCATTTGTGAAACACTGATGACCCAGTATGGCTACATATCGAAGAATAAATTTTTCTTGAAAGCAAATTAAATATATTGTTACCCAAAGTAGAGTCTTCTCACAAGAAATAGGACTGTGTAATATGAAAGCCCTAGCACCACCTGTTCAAAAGTTATGGCCAAATATATGTTCTTAAAAGGTAGGTCAAACTTCAAGGTCTAAGGGTCAAAGTTTTTACTTTCTTAAAAAAGGTCTTGTCTGAAATATTACATAGGTGAAATATGAAAGCCCTAGCCCTTACCATTCAAAAAGTATGGCCAAGGTTAAAGTTTTCAAAAAGTAAGTCAAACTCCAAGGTCAAGGTAAAAAGGTCAAATCTCAGGATATCCAATGAAAGGTCTTGTCACAAGTATTAATGAATATATGAAATCTGAAAGCCCTAGCCTCAACCCGTCAAAAGTTATGGTCAAGGTTTGTTTTATTAGAGTAGGTAAAATTCCAAGGACAAATTTAAAGGGTGAAAGTTCTTGGTATCCTATTAAAGGTCTTTTCGGAAGAATTCCATATGTGAACAATGAAAGTTATAGCTCTAACCGTTCAAAAATTATTGCCAATGTTAAATTTTTTTCATAAGTACGGAAACCTCCAAGGTCAAGGTCTCAAAATAAAAGTTGGTGGTATCCAATGAAAGGTCTTGCAACAACAACTAAATATGTGAAATATGAAAGTCCTAGTATCTGTTGTATAAAAGTTATGGCCGAAGTAAAATTTTGGAGGTTTTATGTGAAAATTAGTCAAACTCCAAGGTCAAGATCTAAAGGTCAAATTTGGCGGTACCTAAAGAAAGGTCTTGTCATCAATGGTTCTACAATCCATTTTTGCTACCCTGAAGGTGATGATACTATATTTGAATCTGTCTGACCGTCCAGAAGTCTAGCTGTCCTTCTGTCTGTCTGTAACACTTTCGCTTCCTTGCGATATCTCAAAATAGCCTTTGAGCTTTTGCAATGAAATTTGAAATATAACCTTTCTGGCCTAAAAGAGACACTTATTGATTTCGAGGTCAAAATATCAAACATAAAGGTATTAGATTTTGCCTGTTTTAGCACTTTCTCTTCCCCCCGACATCTCGAGAAGCCTTTGAGCTTTTGCAATGAAATTTAATACCATTACTCTCTATAGACTCATCCGTCCCTCTTAAAGTGTCCCGCAACCTCCAACCCCAACCCCTTCTAGATCAGCGCATGCATTTCTTTTTAAGAGGAAGACATATTATCTGAATTGACTTGTTCTAAGATTTATTTGAAACAATGCAATGCTAATTATTTATGATTGCATTTAATTAAGATAAAATATCCTTGTAAATATATTGAATAAGATATACCTTTTTTTTTGTTATTTATGATCTATCAGTTATAACAATAAATTACCTCGTTTACTGAATTCTCATTTTCTAAAAAGGGATGTTTGTTAAACAGATCTAGGGTTTGCAGATGTTTAAGGTCCCGCTTTCGTCGTCTTACAGTTTCTGGATGAGTCAAACAATGATATCTTTTTCCAACCGTAAATTTACAGTCTATGACGTTCCCATAATTGCATACAGTTTTATATTGTCCAGTAGAATTATCACATTTACACACACGAGTCATTGTGGTGGAGATTGATTTTAATCTGCTGAATACATTTTGATCTTCTATTAGCAAGTTTTCCTCGCTCCTAACTCTGAAATAGAATTAAAATATTTTTTTTATTTCAACCATTGGTTTTGCGTTTGAACATGATTTTATCCAACGAGTTGTGTGTTTTATCCCACAGCCTTAAGCTTGGCAAGGGGATGGAACACAAAGAAGTGGTTTAAAAAAATGTTATAACATGTTCATCCCCTACTAATGTGTTCGGAACCTTTTAATTTTCGGTGTTCTTCACACCATAAAACCCGATGACTTCAGAGTAGCCCTGGCAGAGGCTCTGGCGAGAGTTAGCGAGACTTCAGCGAGATAGGGTAAATTATTCACGGAAATGTGGCTAGGAAGTAACTAGCACGTGGAGACATAAACATAAAAGTTATGTTGCGTTTCAGTTTTTACCACCCTATAATATCTGTAGAAATGCACTTCATTCGATCTCTCTTACATTCATTCAAACTTAAATAAGTATTTTTAAAATAAGTTTTCTGCAGCCATGCATTAAAATTTAATTTAGGACAAATATTTTTGCATGGGAACCGGGACTGTATTTTTGGCGTCAGATTAGCAAATGAAGCACCAGCATGATTTTAACTGACCAATCAGCTGAATGCAAATTGCATTTTGGTTTACTACGAATACTACAGGATTATTACGGTTGAAAAAAGGAAAATCTTTTATAATTATGGTAGTTAGATAAAAAGCATTTTTTAAATTTTCTATATTATTTTCATGCTCACAATGACAAACAATTCATTTGTCAAATAAACTGTGGAAGTCTAGATTTCTCAAAGTCATATTGCAAAGCGATTTGCGTCTGTATTAATTCCTTTGTTCAATTATTGTACAATCGGTGAATACAATTGTCAGGTGGATTCCCTGGCCAAAACACGTGATCTTGAGCATAGTTATGTAAACAAAGATTTGTCCATTTAAATGCATAAGAGATGCTGCTCGTTTTCCTTACCCTTGAAGCGCTGGCGTTCTAAACTAGACACAAACTATATTTTATTAAACATATTTTTTCTAGTTAACACAAATCTTTCATAATTTCTAATCTTTGTATTTTGTTCATAAGAATATTTTTTTTTTATTTTTCACTCCATTGACATCATCATAGATTGACCTGAAACACGTGTTCGAAGTAGAATGTTAACATGTATTTGGCGTAAACTTGCTATTCATTCAACGATTGGTCAGTTTCTCGTGGTAAGATCCTCTGTGCGCATTTATAACAATAGCCATACAAAACAAAGGTTTGTCAGTGTACATGCAGAGATGATATTACACCTATTTTTACCAGAGTATCGGTCGCTAGTGAGCTATGATTTTCGCCGTAAAGTATGATAAGGTATTATACACTTATCCACTGGTTGTGAGTGGGATAGCTCTTTTATCAAACCCGCGACAGGGAATTATTCCCCGAGGGATTGCCCGAGGGGGATAGTCCCTGTCAAGGGTTTGATAAAAGAGCTACTAGTATACCACTCACAAACAGTGGATAAGCGTTTTATTATACTGATGTATAATATAATTTCTGAAGTTTGAAATTTTTTTGGAGTAAGATAATCTGAAATCCTGATGACGTCACAATGCTACTGAAGTCATTATGACATCATCAGTCAACAGATTTATCGCTGGAAATCAAAATTGGAGGCAAAAATTGCATGAAATTTTTCCGAGGGTGGATAGCAAAAACTATACCCCGGGGTATAGCTTTGCTATACATGAACTATAAAAGATAGCTATTTTACCTTCTGAACTTTATATGGGAAACATTTTAACAGAATTATAATAAATATTGTTATTTTAAGCCCCCCTTTAGCCACACTTTTTCAGTGTAAATCGTGAAAGTCTTTCAGAAAGGTCTGGAAACACATTTTTACAGGACATACAGACTATAGCATTTCCTGTTTACTGCCAATTTTATTTATAAAACCAGTTTTACCCTATAACCTTTGAATAGGTCAACCTTAACCACGTGCCTTGAATTTAAATCACAATAACATTAGTAGGGGTGTGTTTTGCACATAACTTAATGAATTTTTTTGTGCTAGTTTATGTCTGTTTCTCATTCCATAATGCATGTCTTGATCAAATTTATGCAAAAGCATTATGAGGTCACAACATTGGATATATTTTTGTGAGCTGTATCTTTTTTGTAAAGGAGTAAACATATGATAGTTGCATTTCAATGGTAGTTCACAAACCATCATCAATTCATGTCATAAAACAGTACTTTATTACTCAGGCAACTATTTGTTAAAAAATGCATTTTTATTTTTACCTGGATAAGCTTTAATAGATAGTACGAAGCCTTTCCTGTGTGAAAATGTTTGGTCCTAATTGCTTTTAAGAAATGAAAAGTGATTCAAATATTGATCTTACATCCAAGTACTCGAAAAAAAGTCTGGTCTCCTCGTGATATTAGTAGGATACTGAAAATTATTCCTTCCTGTAAATTCATTTTCTTTCTTTCCATCCATAATGCCGCAAAGTCCTCTGGTATTTCCTATATCCGACGTTGATGGATAAATGCCTGCATTTAAAAACCAACCAGTTTCGTTTCGCCAGTTAATAGAAATTTTAACTCTTGTTCCTGTTGGTAGCAACACCTACAACAATTTAATTCTAAACTTCAAAAGACAAAAACACCATTGCATTTTTATATTTACTTATAAGCATAATATAATGACTGCATTGCGGAAGCATATGAAAATTGTAATGTAACTGAATCACTACCTCATATAGACGATCAGCCTTCTTCACTACTTTCAAAACGCTGTCATCACAGAGTGGAAAATTGATGATTTCCCTTTGTCTGCCGCACATATCTATAGTAAACACGTCCCGTCCTGATCTCACCGCTACTGCACAATTACAGGTTGCACCATGAGTACACATAAAATGTTTTTCCTGTACCTTTTAATTAAAGGGAAAAAAATCATTTTCATTTACTGTTTATAATGCATCGCTCATAAAAAAATTTTAATATACAACTCCTTTAATTTTTTCAATACAGTCATCCATAAAAGGATAATTCGAATTTTACAATTTTGATATGAAACCGTCAGCCATAAAAATATTGAACGGATAAATAAAATCAATGCAAAGTCTTATTATCTCCATTTTGTTTTCAATTTCAAAAATTAAATTGTAACAAATTTATTTTCTTAAACATTACTAAACATTATATTTTGACATCATTATATACAAAAAATACTTTTAACAAGGATCAGGTTTGCTGTCCACTATATTCAGATTGAAGTCTACATTTCACATTTCCTACAGATATTCCAAACGGTATATATACTATTATAAAAAAGAAGATAATGTAGTTTATGATCGAAAGGCATAGGGAACCGTGCTGTATATTAGCAATTCCTTAACGGGGAAACATTTCCAAAGAAATTCATAATCAAAACACATCAATCACAGTCTCACAATCTGCATGGGATGCTAGACACATAATATTCAGGTTATTATCTTTTTTATTTAAAAAGATGAATTTCATATAAATATGTAAATATTTTTTCATGTGAATTTCATGTAAATAAGTGAATTGTGATATTACATTACAAAAAAACTTTCTTGTGAAGTTTTCTCTGCGTGTTATTCATGGGATATGCTTTTCATATAAAATTCATATAGATTTTATGTCTAAATCACTTGAAGTTTTTAGATAAATTCTAGTTGTTTTGTTTTTCGTCTCTTTTTCAGAATTCACTAGAAACTCGTGAATTTCATAGTATAAAATTTATGTGAGCAATTTTTGGCTGTGTAGTGATGACTAAGGGTATTGTGCCACAAATTTACATGCCTCTGAATTCAAAGGTTAAAGCCACTGTCGGCAAGACGAGACTATCAAGTTGTTGCTGGTCTTGTCACAGCGCAGTACTACCGGGACAACATCTTTGCACCCCATGTTGTGCCGTTTGCAATTCGTTATGGTCGCCCTATCGTTTTTCTAGTTGTCAATGCCAGATCTTATAGGTCCATGATCGTTACAGATTATCTTTTACAACAGAATGTCACCACATTACCATGGCCCACACACAGTCTGGACATTTCCTCTATCGAGCCTACCTGGGAAATTGCTTGGACAGCAGCTATGCCAACGTCAACAACCTCCTAATGTCCAAGAACTTGCAGCATTGCAACAAGAATGGAATAGCGTTCCCCAAAATGACCTGGGACCCCTCGTTATGAGTATATCACGCCAAAGCATTTCTGGCCAACTGAGGAGGTTTTACCGGCTACTGACTCTGTTTCACAGTGGTGGTAAATTTGATGTGTGTCCCTGTGTTGGTGTCGGCCCTTATTCTGGAGATTTTGTTCTCTACTGACTTACACAGGGTTTCGAATAAATTGACTAATGTATTTCTGTTATTTGCTTCCTTCCTGACCTCATAATCTGCATTACATTGTCCTTGAAAATCAAATACCCCTTCCTTTTTGAATTGTATGTAAACAAACCGTACAGTACCTTGGTATTGAACAACTAAATAAAAATCCTCTTAGGGGACTCCGACCCTCAGCCAGGAAGGACAACTCTTTAATTTATAATTTAATTCAAAAAGTCTTTAAATGAAGCTTGAAAATTAAATATTTTCATGCAAAAATTTTCATTATTTGCCTCTCAATGTGCTTCAAGGTTCTTTGCAAGGCTCCATAAATCACTTCTAATTTCATATCATGTTAATATACATTGATATCTAAAACTGCTTTTTCAGGATAAAAATTTCTACTTTTAATTAGACCTTTCTGAGAAGTTCAAAGAACCTTGAAGCACATTGAGAGGCATATAATGAAAATTGTTGCATGAAAAGATTTAATTTTCAAGCTTCATTTAAAGACTTTTTGAATTAAATTATAAATTAATGAGTTGTCCTTTCTGGCTGAGGGTCGGAGTCCCTTAAGAGTTCTTGCTTTTCTTTTTGTCCACCGTTTTTACTGAAAGTGGGGTTATTATTTTTTGTATTTTGGGGGGTTTGTCCGTCAGTCTGTCTTTCTGTCTGTATGTAGCGTTTACGTTTCCGCGCGATATTTTGATAAGCCTTTGGGCTTTTAAATTGCAATGAAATTTTGCCGAGCAAATCCCTGTGGCATAGAAAAGACCCATTTGGTTCCTGTGGTCAAAAAACAAAGGTCAAGATACAAAAAATCAATTACATTGTATTCTCTCTGTTTAACAATTTCTTTTCCGAGCAATATCTCAAAAAGCCTCTGATCTATTGCGGTGAACATTTATACCACGCCTTCTTATGGTCTAAGATAAAAGCTGTTTCTTTGGAGGTCATAAGGTCAAAGTCGTGAATTTAAACATTCTGTCCGTTTGTAAAACTTATTTCCGAGCGATATCTCAAGAAGCTTTTGAGCTTTTGCAATGACATTTTATATCATATCTGCCTATGGTACCAACCACCCTTTTTATAGTGCACCGCCTCTTCCCCTTTAAACTCCTAGAAAATAGCATCCTTTTCGTTTTTGCCTTAAGCAGGGGAAATAAATTCTCTGAATTAGCTTATTCTACTTTCAACTACAGTCTCGCTGGACAAGTCAATGCTAGCGATGTTAATAAAGTTGAAATGAAAACCTTAAAACATTCGGTGTAAAAGGTCCTATATTCAGGAAGCCCCGAATGGGCGACAGGACTTAATTTCCCTTTTGAATTCTGTCGAAGACTATGCCAAATAGTGGGCTAAACATAAAAGGAAGACCTCAACACTTCGTTTAATGCTTTAGATATGTATTCGAGATTTGTACAAGAAAATTAAAAGGCAAAATGTGAACCATATATATCCTTCCTTTTTAATTTAACTGGATGTGATGAAAGGGATAGAGAGCCTACATGAACAGTACGTTATGGCTGCAACAGGCAAGGCTAGTTGTATTATTTTATCAGTCACTGTATTTTGGTATAGTATGTCTGATATCCTAAAATATTCTCACAGTTCACTTTAAAAGAAATTCTTCAAAATCAAAATTAAATATTTGATGCTTTTCATATACAGTAGAAGTACTTTTTTCCGCATGGTATTAATTTACGCCATGTACATGGTCACAAAATTTCTGCGAAATTTGTCCAAGCGTACTTCATATAAATGTAAGGCAGATAGTGACAATCTAGGAAATCCACGTAAATTTCTACCCCGCGGATTAATCAGAAATTGAGATTTTGCGAAATAATGACCCATCGGAAAAAAGTACGTTTAAAGTACTTCAAAACCATGGTGAGTTCGATCTACCCTACATGTACTGGAATCCTAAACTTTCTTGAAAATCCGACAAATGAAGGATGCATCGCTGGGTTCAGCATATGCTCCACGAAGCCTTTATCTTTACTCCTTGCAAAAATATCAACTTTTTCATTAAGACACTTCAAACGCACTGTCCATCAACATATTCTGGAAGTATTGTTATTCAGATGTGGATCCTCAAAAACCATCAACAAACTTTTAAAAACTTTAAAATCACTAAATGTTTTCAAAATCTATGACATCTATTCGTATGACTTTAGTAAAAATTCTTCACGATAAAATAAAATCAAGACTTAATCATATCTATCATCTCTATGAAAAAAACTTTTCCATTGCCAAATATACTCATTTATGTAGTTATATTTTACTATCACGTGCTAATTGTAGTCTCCCAACTTATTTGTCTCTCGAAAGTAAGTTCCGCGTAAGAACGATCAATATTTAATGCGAGGCATGCTAATCGCTAATAAGATGAAATTGTAGGGTTTTATAAGTCGGCATTTCGTACATTTAATAGTCCTTATACATGTTATGACTTTGTTACCAAATATAATCTATCAATGAGTCGTATTTTGGGATGACCTGTTTCATACCCATTAGTTAGCCATCTGATTATATACTGAATTTGCTACAAAATGTTCCGTTTTACAATTAAATATATAGGCAACACGACAGATGTAACCGCTCCTAGGGTATGCTTATTCCTCTTAGGCAACTGATCTCACCTCTTGAATTCGCATGGGTTCATGTTTTATACCCTTTTTCAAATACTTACATTGTTAATGGATGTTTTAGGTCAATTGATGTTCGTTATCTCGACTTTTTTGCAATTTGCCAAGCATATGTTATGCATTTTGTTTATGTTTTCTTATACTAAGTCAATCAACTTACCTCTTGATTATAAAGGTCATTTTTATACAGAATGAAGGTCCCAGGCAACATGCATTGATACCATACACTAAAAAGTGTTTTTTAAAAATGTAATTATGGAATAATTATATAATTTTGTTTTTGGTTTTATGATATTAACATTTATAAGCAATTAAGCTATTTTATTATTTGTGGTTTTATCTATGACACAAAAATCTGAACATGTAAATATTCCAATAAAAAAAATCCAATATAATGATAAATATCACTTGTGTTAAAATATATAATCACAGTTGCAATCATTTCTAAATTTAACGAGGCCCGATCTAGTTGAAAATTACGAAAACGGAATGACAAAAAATTTTAATTCTTGGAATTATATTTGTATGTTTTATGCTTAGAAAAATTCGAATGAAATTTTGTTACCTTGCCTTTATTGTAGTCAAATGGGGGCACTGTCAAGATATGGGCCATTTTTCGTGTTTTTATACACAATTATATACTAAAACTCTCCAATAAACCAAGAAATTGAAAATTTAAAAACAAATAAATGATGAAATGCTTTGTTTTTTTTTTTTTACATGTATCAAGCAATTTTCATTCTTCTTTTAAAAAATGTAAAGGAAATTGGAGGTAGCCTTTATTGCAGTGGAAAGAGGGCATGTCAAAACACAAAATTTGGATTTATTTTATCCAAGTAGGTATTTTATAAGTCGCAATGGGTTCACATAACATCAACAAACGATTGCAATATTGTATTAGTTTCTAAAAAAAAAAAATAATTCTTATACATGTAATATGAAATAATTTTCTCGCCATGCTGTATTTTTTTCTTAACACGCGACGTTCTTTTACGTGGTAAAAAGGGGGAGAGGGAGGAGGGGGGTTAAAGGCGACAAAATTACTATTTTTACTAATATTATATTATATAGAAAAAATAAAATATTTCAGAGGTTGCATTTAAATGATTCATAGACTTATTTTTTTTAACTGAAGCTAATCCATGCATATTTAAGTCCTCAATAAAAAGAATGTGTATAAACACATCAACATGTTCAAGGAGAAAGACTAAAATCGTTTACTTTTGGTTGCAGTGTTTGTTTGTTTTTTTAACTCACAAATTGAAATAAAATAAAACAAAATTACTGAATCTGTACCGAAAAATGGATACTTCAAAATTAATTATGTTCCAACGTTGTTTATTAATTTAAACAAATATTTTTAAAAAATGTAAATAATAGAAATGTCAGTTTTCAACATACACAGTCTATATAGAGCTACCAGGTTAGCAAGATCAGCGAAACATTTAGCTCTATTTGACGTCATTTAAATTGTGACGTTATTGTGTTCAATTGTGACGGCAGTCAAGGGTATTGTGGCGTGCCTGAGTCGACGCTGCGTTAAAGTGTATGCACAGATCAAGTAGATTGGGCCTCGTTCAATAGAATTCTCAAAGCAGGTAACTGTGAGCTTTGAATATTAAAAGCTTCATTTTTTTTGCAAAAAAATACATTATATATTTGTATTTCAATATCATTTTCCAAAAGACAAAAAAAAAAAAAAAAAAAAAAAAAAAAAAAAAAAAAAAAAAAAAAAAAAATAAAAAAAAAATAGAAATAAAGAGAGAGAAAAAATGATATAAACTTTAGAATTTCTTTTGAATATAAAATCAAAACCATTTCTTCATTTGACTTGTTGTACATGCATTGAAATCATCATTGAGTGTAAACTTATATCGTATTCATTTAAACGGTAAAAAGAAATATTCTCAAATAGCTCACTTGTCAAAGGTAAAGATGTGTGGATCTGTTACCGAGAAACAACTCTTGCCTTTCCACAGTGTCTTGTTATCAACTATCATAACCTGAAGTAAACATTGATATTTTAGTCATTTGTATTACAAGGTTAGCCATATAATTGATTTTATTTTTCAAAGCAAAAACTTTTCATTTATAAATATATATTTAAATAAATATCATTTATAAGAAGTACATGTTTAAGATAAAAAAAAAACCCTTCTGATTTCAATTGGCATATTTCTATGAAACGTTTTGCATTTGTGAATTCCTGCTGGAAATATAAAAGAAATGCTAAGTATAGATTTACCTGAACGTCTGGGAGAAGGACATCTTCGAAAATTTTAGTTGGAGACAATTGTCCACCCTGCGTACCTACTGTCTGAAGTCTCAGTATCAGATGTGTATCGGGAGTATAATCACCATCATCATCGTTGTAAAATGTAAAGTTCTGAATACCTTTCCATTCATCGGTATCGTATTTCCATCTCTCGCTATACTTATATGATGTTATATTTATGGCACAATTATATCTCCTGCTGTCTTCACATGATACATGTGATCCATTATGAACAGCAGAATTTATATAAAGAACCGACTCTTTTTCATCCTTGTCCAGCACTAAAGTCTGATCAGCAAATGGGATGGTAAGTTGAAATGGGATTATTGCTTTTTGATTTTTTTCGATTACAATTCTCTGTCTTAAAAGCTGAAAATGATAAATAAATATATAAGGAAATTTTTTCAACCATCATCTTTACAGGATTTTACTAATTTTTGATACCATTAATATTTTCAAAATTTTAACAATACCTTTGATCATTGTAATATTTTAAATTTACATGATAAAAATGTGTCGCAAAATCCATAATTATTTAAATGACTGTTATATTTTGTTATGTATACATGTAAGGGGGTATCGGATAAATCGTTGAAACTTTTCTAAAATAAAAAAAAAATAACACTGTGTTTTAAATTGTTTACAAATATTTACTACATTGATACATTTTTTCTAGAATGACAATAATAAATAATAACTTGAGAAAAAAAACGATAATCATTTTCCCCAATTTCATCTATTTTAAGATATATTTAATTTGAAACCTAATGTATGCACGTGTGTCTTATATGTACAAATTATGATTTTATAATATGTTTTTGACATCGATAACTTTTACTTATATCCACTCTTTTTCTTCATCGAGTAAATACTAGTACATGTAACGACATATGCAAATGTGATCGCTTAATCTTTCTTGAAAAATTTTTCCTGGTGCATTATTTTGCAATAAAATGCACAACGTCCGTAGTTTACCTGATGACCCTCATATATTACATGTATACCTTACCTTTATTCCTGCAAAAAATAATGGACTGGATTTCGAGGAACATGGGGAATCTGCTGGTCTAAATTTGGCTCCAACCACACAATGTATCTGCGTATATTTGATGTTTAAGTATGCATCAACATTTTATTAAATATTCTCTATATCTTTCAATATGGGATGATCAAGCTTAATAACTTATCTACTTTTTCTCTCAAGTTTACCATTTACTGTATTTTTGTCTCTATTGAACAATGAATGTATGTATTTTAAGCTGGTTTCCTAAAAAAATGGAAGACGTGTCAATGGTAGAGTACTAAATATTGAAATAACTTACCATAGATCCTGCCTTTCCTTTAATTTGGAGGATTTCGCTGGCACTAAGAAGTGCTTTCGTCCTTTTGTCAGTGGCCAGTGTTTGATTTCTGATGGCTTCTTTGTTATCAATGTACCAATTAACTTCATAAAAAATGTTTTCTTCATTGATGGGCGTAAAGTTACAAATAAGATTCACTGATGGTATATGAGTGCGATCAGTTGCTGTTTCATTAGGATGTGACGTCCAAGAAACACCGTGATAGGATACAGATAAATTTGTAGGTACTCCTTCCACACCTACATTGAAACGTATAAATGAAGGAACTGCTAATCTGCATATGTAAACAGCAATTTCTTTCATAAAAGTAAACATTCTATGATAACAAGTCACGAATTATATTTTACCATCGACATTTTTAATAAGTTATCAATTTAAAAAAAAATGTTTTTATTAGTTGTCATTTTATATCAAGTTATTATTCTGCAAATAAACAGCTATACACATATCATTTTAATTAACTGCCTCTATTATGATTACTTACAAGTTGAGCTTGGTTCTGAAATTAAAAGAAAGAGAAAAGTTGATTGCATTTTATCGCTTATACAAACCAAAAAAGTACATAAATCTACAGATTTATTCAGATAGATTTCACGGTAAGAAAAGACAATTAAAAGTAGTAAAGAAAAACATTCTTACGAAAGCAATATGCTGAATTACAAGAACTCAAAGGCGTTAACTCGTAAACAGCAAAGAAACCGCAGTTTTTAACCATAATGGTATGAGATTGTACACATTTGTTCTGAAATCCAACTCGACAAACTGTTCTCCTTGCCATTGTTCCATTCTCTGGGAGGGTTCCTGTTTAGATCAAACAATTAAGAACGTAGTTGAAGGTACTTTCATACTCTAATATGTTTTGGATCCTGAGGATTTTTCCATAAACATTGGCATTGATAATATGCTTTCCATTTTTAGCAAAAAAATTAAAAATACTAGCATCTATTTGATAATCTAAAATAGATGCCTTTATTTTATGAGAAAAGAAATCGGGTTCGATGAATATGATATAGAGATTCCATTAGTAACATCGGGTTCGGGCTCCCTCTTATATCCGGTTGCTGAACAGGGAACAGACAAAGATACATCCAGAGAATAAACAGTGAAAATACAACAAATCGACTGGTAAAAACTGATTCTTGTAATTGATTTTGTAACTTTAGATAACATTTTATACAAGATTATCATCCATGGAAAATAATTTTTATATTTAAATGAACGATGACCTTGGATTGTAGTCTGGTGCATTAAGCACATGGTAGATTTTTAGAAAAAGCTGATTAAGAATTCGGGGAAATTTATTGTTTTTATAATCTTGGAAATATTTTAACGTGTAATATAAGAAAGATATAGGACGTAACGTTTACGTTAATTTCTGG